CTCGTATTGTCGGCGCATTATAGACCACCTCTCAGGAGCTACGCGTCCACCCAATGCACGCCTTCGTCAACAACTCGAGCTCTTCAAGCTTCAGGACGGTGTGCTGTATCGTCACATATACCATCCTGACGGTCAACGCTGGGTACCTGTTCTGCCACGCGCTCTTCAACATCATGTACTTAACGCCTTTCATGACGATTTGACTGCTGGCCACCTCGGCTTTCACAAAACCTACGACCGCATTCGAAGCCGCTTTTATTGGCTTGGCATTTCTATCAGTGTAGCAAAGTGCGTGGGTTCCTGCTCTCCGTGCCAACTTCGCAAACTTCCAACATCTCCCCCGGCTGGTCAGTACAGCCAATGACGTCCCCTACAACACCTTTCGAGGTCGTCGGTGTCAATCTTTATGGGCCCTTCCAGTTACCGGCGCTGCAAATAGATGGATAGTCACCGGCGTAGACCATCTGACATGCTACGCCGAGACAACTTCAGTAGCTACTGGTTCAGCATCGGAAGTTGCTGACTTCGTCCTTCAGGCCATGATACTACATCATGGTGCTCCTCGTGTACTTCTAAGTGTCCGTGGAAAGGTGTTCTTATCACAGCTTTTAGGTGAAGTTCTTCGCGTTTCTGGTACTACACACAAGATGGCGTCTAGCTACCATCCTCAAACAAACGGTCTGACCGAGAGATTTCATCGAACCCTTGCCGACATGATCGCCGTATACATTCAACCGGATCACAGAAACTGGGATAAACTTCTACCGTTCCTCACTTTTGCCTACAACACCGCTGTTCAGCGCACGACCGGCTACTCACCGTTTTATCTCGTTTACGGACGTTCACCTACTTTATTTATCGATGTTTCCTTCTTCACCGGCAATGGCCCTCCATCACCATCTTCTTGCGAAGAATATATTTCTCGCCTTGCCCAGTGCCGCCAGCGCGCTCGTATGAGCACGGAAGCTACGCAACAAGCAAGGAAGGCCGTCTATGACACCTCTCATCGTGTGGTATCATTCAGATCGGGTGACGAGGTGCTGCTATTGACATCAATTCGCACACCTGGTCTCTGCGACAAGTTCCAGCCTCGATTCATCGGCCCATATGTTGTTTTAGAGCAGACTTCACCTGTTAACTATCGTGTGACGCTTCTTGTCGTGCCAACCGACCGCCGTTACCGCAGCACCGATATTGTACACGTTTCCCGCATGAAGCTTTTCACACGACGTTCTTCGTCACCTTGACTACCCGCTCGCAGCGGCCAGGCTGGCCGCTTGCACGCGGGGGGAATCAGTGTAGGCATTTATTATGCGCTTCATCCTCATCTGAACAGCAGTCATTCATCATTATCTGTTCTGGCTGAAAATCATCATCGTCTTTGAACGTGCGCTTCATCTTTGGGTTTGTTGCGCTTGTTCGTTCCCGAGTTTACGGCCAATAAACCTCGTTACAACCGAGTCGTCATAATATATGCAATCTTCAGCATTCAGCATTGGGTTCATTCTTGAGGAGGTAATGCAAAATATGAAGACACAATTGATGAACGAAGAGATGAGACAGGTGTTAACATCACATTAACACTGTCATGACCATGAGAAATTTGCCTGTTTGTAGGTTGTCCAGAAAACGTCATTTTTGTGGCACCCAAAGTTTTTTATGTTAATGTTTATAGTAATAAATTTATTTATTATTTATTTATTTATTATTTATTTCAAATACCCTCAGGGTACAAACGTACATTGAAGAGGGGAGGGGCAAAGAAGAAAGTTAACACGTAATAATAACTTAAATAAAAACTTGGTTATAGTTTTAAAAATACAGAAATGAATTATCACGATGACGCTTTAAACAAATATCAGTTACAAGAACAAAGGCCAATGAACCAAAATGAATAACACAGCAATCAAAACACTGGACTGTCCTGGAAGAATTACAAGATTTTATCATTGGATGCACTGCCAAAAGAGATATAATGAAAAAAAAAAAAAAAAAAAAAAAAATAATGTACAAAAAGTAGCCACTCGCAAAACTAGAATACGAGAAGCATAAAAAAAAAAAAAAAAAAAAAAAAAAAATAAAGGTATGAAAACAAACACTGAACGATGTTAACTCGAAATGAAACTTCGAAGTGCGATTTTGAAATTATTGGTGTTAGTTATGCTTGTGAGTGATGCAGGCAGATTGTTCCAGTCTCTGGTCGTTGTGGGGAGAAATGAGTGTGAAAAGCCGACGGTGTTGCTGTGTGGAATGTTTACCTTTTGGCGATGGTCGATGCGGGATGAAATGTACGGCGGTGGCTGAAGAAGCATAGAATGTAAATATGAATTGTGGTAGTAGATTTTATGGAAAAGATAGAGTCGAGATAGTTTTCGGCGATGTGATAGCAATGGAAGGTGTAGAATGTCTTTCATGTTAGTAACACTCGCAGTTCTTTGGTAATTGTTTAAAATGAAGCGGACTGAGCGATTTTGTATTTTTTCTAGTAATTTTATGTGGTTCTGATATCCGGTGTCCCATACTGACGATGCATACTCAAGCTTCGGACGAATGAAAGTTGTGTACAGTAGTAGTTTTAATGAAGATGGCGCTTGAGGAAACTTCCGGCGAAAATATCCTAATGTGCTAGTGGCCTTGGTGGCTATGTAATCAATATGAGTTTTCCATGAAAGGTTATTGGTAATATGGACACCCAAGTATTTGTACGATGTTACGCATTCTAGTGGGATGTTATTAAGTGTGTAAGTAGGGGAAGTCACTTCAGCACTGGAAATCCTCATACTTTTGCATTTTCTAACGTTTAATTCCATACGCCATAATTGACACCATTTAGTTATGTTATTAAGATCTTCCTGAATTAGTGAAATGTCTGCGGCATCCGTCACCTTTCTATACAAGACGCAGTCATCTGCAAACAGGCATATTTTCGAAGAGACATTAGTAGGCAAATCATTAATATAGATTAGGAATAGTAAGGGACCAAGCACAGACCCTTGCGGGACACCAGAATCAACAGGAATCAATGAGGAGTTAACGTCGTTAGCGGCTACAAACTGAACACGTGATGTTAGAAAGGCGCGAATCCAATTAATTACAGCTGTGTCGATGTTTAGAACGCTTAGTTTATGAAGTAGCAGTGCATGGTTCACTTTGTCGAATGCTTTAGAGAAGTCGAGAAATATACAATCTGTTAAAAAACCGCCATCTAGATTAGAGTGGAGAAAATGAGTGAAGGCTATGAGCTGAGTGTCACAGGAAAAGTTTTTGCGAAATCCATGCTGCGAAGCTGTGAAGAAGTTGTTATATTCGAGAAAATTAACCAGATGTGTGTAAATTATATGCTCCATAATTTTGCAAGGCACTGATGTAAGAGAAATCGGTCTATAATTTTGTGGGTCATGGGATGGTCCTGATTTGTAAATAGGGATGACTCTGCCAGTTTTCCAGTCAAACGGTAAGGTACCCGAGTTGTAAGATTGCGAGTAAATATGTTCTAGTATGATTGAGCAATATTCGCAGTGTTTTTTAAAAAGATTGCATTGATTTCGTCTACCCCGCATGATGCTTTAGATTTTAGTTTCTGAATGATGCTTTTGATACCAGTGGAGTTGAAGATTATGGGATGCATTGAGTGGTATTGAGTAGGATGGATCTCAGGCATCGGACCGGGAAGGTTAGGTGATGAGAATGACGAAGCGAAAGTTTCATTGAGCAGAGTAGAACACATATGCTCCGGTACAGGGCCCCCAGAACTTGTCAGCAGTGATATACCATTTTTATGAGCATTTCCCCGGATAATCTCCCAAAAGCGTTTTGGGTTAGCCTGTATTAAGTTTGGAAGCGTGGATTTAAGGAAGGAGACTTTGGCTGATTTTAGTGCTATGAGATATGAGCTTGCAGCGTTTTTGTATGTTAGCCAATGAGACGGTGTTGAGTGAAGTTTAGCTGTGCGGAATAAACGTTTTTTCTTATTGGATAATCGATTCAAATATGTACTATACCATGGTGATTTATTGTTAGCGTAAACAGTCCGAAGGGGGACATGTTTGGTTATTAGCTCACCGATTTTATTTTTTAAAATGAACCAGTTAGTTTCGACGGAGCGTTCTAGATAACTAGGTAAAAAAGTGGCCAGAAACAGGCACAGTTCATTGTTGATGGCCTCATAATTAGCTTTTTTATAATTTCGAATCTTTTTCCGCTGTCGCTTTATCTTTTGATGAGGTGTTGTAATCGTGAAGAGCAGGATGTCGTGATCGCTCAGCCCTGGCATGTGTGTTACTGTAGAAACTTTATCAGTTGATGTCGTTAGAATCAGATCAAGGAGTGATGATTTGTTTTTTGTTACACGTGTTGGAAGTTTGACTATCTGGGATAAGCCGAAGTCAGAGCAAACTGAAACGAACCGATTGGCTTCAGCCGTTGAGGGGTTAGAAAAAGGGATCGAATGAGACCAGATGATGTCAGGAAAATTAAAATCACCCAAGAGTATAATTTGAACTCCCGGGAAACGCATGGTAACCGCATTTAAACTGTCGTGAATGTCATCACAAAAGGATGAGTCACTTGATGGGGATCTGTAGCAGACACCTAATAATATTTTCTTAAAACTAATTGTTAGGCAACACCAAATAAGCTCTAAATTCGAGTTGATTGGCACAAGAGAACAATTTATGGATTCTTTAACAGCGAGCAAGACGCCACCACCAATCCTACCAGTTCTGTCACTTCGGTAAACAGTATAACGGTTTGCACACTCAAAGAGTTCGGGGTTTGTTATTTTGCTACTTAGCCAGGTTTCTGTCAGTGCAATAATGTCGGCGTTACAGTCATCAATATACCACAGAATTCATCTTTCTTGGGAAAATAACTACGAATGTTGGTAAAAAGGACTGAACACTTGCACTCGTTTATGGCTCCTCCCCTCAGATGTCCCTAACTCGGCGGTAACCTACGACCTGAGCGAAGAGTTCTGCTACGTTCATGCTCGTGTGTGGGTTTTTTTCTGTGTATTTCGAAAATACAGTTCTTCGCTTCGTCGTATCCGTAAGATTTGCCATCGAATGTCAGCGTTTTATACCGAAGTTTGAAGGACGTGGTCTTTGATTTACCGTATTCTATTAGTTTTTTTCTTATGTTGCGCGTTGTTTGACAAAAATCTTCGCTCATTGCTATGTCAGTGCTCTTTAGCAAACCTCGTTTTGAAAAAACCAGCTCTCTCTTTTTAAATGTTTCAAATTTCGTTATAAGTGGTCGAGCTTTCGCTGAATCATAGCGTCCTATTCTGTGAGCGCGGCATATATCAGAACTTGTGACATCAATTTGGATAGTATTAGTCAGGAGGTTGATGATCTTTTTTTCCGATTCCGAAGAAGTTTCATCTGCGGCATCTGGAATTCCATAAAAGACAAGATTGTTTCTCCGCGATCGATCCTCTGCGTCATCAAGACGCGAATGCATATTACTAGTGTCTTTTTCAAGGCGCTCAACAGTGGTGCGTAGTTCTTTCATTTCATGCTGCCAGTGCTCGAAAACGGAGGTTTGGTTTTCAACTTTCGCCAGTCTGTCCTTTATTTCGTTCATTGATTCTGAAACTGACTGTTGTTGTTCTTTTAACACAGATACGGTGTCCAATATTGTTGTTTGCGCTGATTCCATTCTTTTTGTACGTTCGTTCAAATCCTTCATCGTTTTCACTAGTTCTGCTAAGTTGTCAGGACCTGGGTTGCTTTCTACATCCCCACAAAGAAGTAGTAGCAAAGAACAAAAAGGCAAGAGAACGGCTTGTGGGCACGGAAGCACAACAATAAAGGGTTCATCAGATCGGAAGCTACGACAAGGCAGTTTAGAAAGGTAACTAACCTGCAAGACGAAAAGACAGGTGCGTAAGCCTTTGGCTGTTCTTTCCATCGCGCTTCCGTGCCCACTGCAGTGATAGTGCTCGATGCTGGGTCTTATCCTATCCGGACGAGATGACGTTGATGTCGCAGCTGCGCACTGGTGGTGCTGCAGGTGGCGCTCGACGATGTTGGTCAGGTCCCAGCAAGCTGTTTCTGGCAGGTCTGGTGAAGGGGCAACAGCACAGATTCCGTCCGATAATGGAAGATCCGGGGAAGGGGCGGCTTCACGAATTCCGTCCGAGAGCGCGAAGCTTTCCCGTAGACCAGCCACTGGTACGCCGGCCGCGAAAACAGCGACGTACTGCAAGACGAAAAGACAGGTGCGTAAGCCTTTGGCTGTTCTTTCCATCGCGCTTCCGTGCCCACTGCAGTGATAGTGCTCGATGCTGGGTCTTATCCTATCCGGACGAGATGACGTTGATGTCGCAGCTGCGCACTGGTGGTGCTGCAGGTGGCGCTCGACGATGTTGGTCAGGTCCCAGCAAGCTGTTTCTGGCAGGTCTGGTGAAGGGGCAACAGCACAGATTCCGTCCGATAATGGAAGATCCGGGGAAGGGGCGGCTTCACGAATTCCGTCCGAGAGCGCGAAGCTTTCCCGTAGACCAGCCACTGGTACGCCGGCCGCGAAAACAGCGACGTACTGCAAGACGAAAAGACAGGTGCGTAAGCCTTTGGCTGTTCTTTCCATCGCGCTTCCGTGCCCACTGCAGTGATAGTGCTCGATGCTGGGTCTTATCCTATCCGGACGAGATGACGTTGATGTCGCAGCTGCGCACTGGTGGTGCTGCAGGTGGCGCTCGACGATGTTGGTCAGGTCCCAGCAAGCTGTTTCTGGCAGGTCTGGTGAAGGGGCAACAGCACAGATTCCGTCCGATAATGGAAGATCCGGGGAAGGGGCGGCTTCACGAATTCCGTCCGAGAGCGCGAAGCTTTCCCGTAGACCAGCCACTGGTACGCCGGCCGCGAAAACAGCGACGTACTGCAAGACGAAAAGACAGGTGCGTAAGCCTTTGGCTGTTCTTTCCATCGCGCTTCCGTGCCCACTCATTTCCGTGCCCACCCAAATTGTATACTAAGGAGTTATTTTTCAAACAAAGTCAGTTTGAAACTACAACTTTATTAATAATAGTACAAAAAATGATCAAACGAAAAAAAAAAAAGGTGTAACATGAACAAAGAAATTTTATGAGACTATCAACACTGCTCTTAACAGCGTAAGAAAAAAAATCGAAATACATATTTTAAGCACAAGGAACATGCACAATTATCCTGTAAATATAAGCACTGTAAATGCAAATATTTTGCGTATATAGAATAACATTACATGTGTTGTATTTCATGCCACCATGCGAAGCAGTTTTGCGATGCGATAAAAGACAAGTTTGCATCACATATTCCACAGAAAACATTTGTTTTCTGTTCTCTCCAATAACTTGAGCAGTAAAAAAATAGACAAAGTTGAGAGCTCTAGCGAAAAGGGCAGTTTCAAAGTTCAGTCCCGGCTGCCTCCGCGCGTGTAACTGCATCTCTCTGCGCTGCTTCTGACAAGTGATCCCGCCCAAAGGATGTAGACACCCTGCAGATAGGAGCCCTAACCTTCAGAACCTATCAAATTGACTTACACCAACGTGCGCCGGTTATAATGCAGCCCGAGCGTGAAGCTAAACTGACCGGCGGACGACCGCTGATCTTCCGGGGCGGTTTGACGAACTCTCTCCGTCCGTACTTAATTCAGAAGCGTCGATGCTGTCTTCCGAGCCTGTGCTGGTGTTATAATTTGAAGATTCCAGCCCAGATGCACGAGAATCCTCCGAAATTCACCGTTTTCCTGAAGTGGTCACATGTGATGTCGACGGCATCATTGAAACTACGCATGCTCACCTGCGTGTCCAGAAAGGCACTTTAGGATCCCTACGTGATGAAAAAGAGAAAAACATAAGCGAAACTGATAAAATACTCATATTTTTAGGTAATGTAAGTGTGGTGTTTGCGAAAGACGTAAGAAGCACCGGCAGCACCACCGTACAAAAAGCCGTTTATTGTACGCAACACATCGAATATATACATAAAGGACAGACGCGCCCCCTGGGGGTGAAAGAACACAAAGTAAAAACCGAAACTGAATATAACATACTCCCTCCCTTATATGTAGTGATTAGTTGTTAGTAAGTGTTAGTAAGAAACCCCTATGCATGCACTGTACATTTTTACACGCTGTATACACATACATATTTACACTACATACACACTGTGCTATACACACAGGTAACTAGTGAGTCTGATAGTCCTTGAGCCAGACCGGTGGCCGGCGCTCTCGGGACGGCCGATGGGGATGCTGCACGGCCAGAGATGGTAATGAGCTTGTAGAGCTCTGTAGTACGCCAGGAGATTGCGATTGCGGCCCAGGAGAAGGCGGCTGCAGCATGGCAGGCTCCGGTACAGGCAGCTGCGGATCAGGAGCAGGCGACTGCGGTACGGCAGACTGCAGTACACCAGGAGGCGGGGGCTGCGACCCGGGAGAAGGCGGCGGCGGCAGGGCAGGCTGCGGCACTTGAACCGGAAGCTGTGGCGCAGGTAGCTCCGAACGTTGGTATGGTGGACTAGTGCCCCTCTCAGGAACCCGGGAAAGCTTGGAGGCGTTCCATGTGCGGCCGTCTGCAAGTCGGAAAGAGGCAGGTCCCCTCTTCCCCAACACCTCAGTTGGCGAGGAAAAAGAGCGATCCCCCTTGAAGCGAACGGACGGCTTCTTGACTCGAACGAAATCACCCACAGCTATCTTTGGCTCTTTAGCGACTCTCCTGCGGTCCGTGTACTCCTTACTGCTTTGCTGTTGAAGCCGGACCCTTTGGCGCAGTCGCGCCAGTTCCTTTGCTGGGTCTTTTGCAAACGCTGGTGCCGAAAACCCTACAACATCCAATCTGGTTAGGGGCATTCGCCCATGCAGCAGAACTGCTGGGGCAACTCCAGTAGTAGCCTGTGGAGTACAGCGGTAAATAGACAGGTAGTCCGTAACTGCTTGTCGGATAGGTCTCCTTTCAAGGAGTGAAACCTGGATGAAGTTCTTCAGAGTTCGATTGAACCTCTCGACTTGCCCATTCGCCTGGGGGTAATATACAGATGAATGAGACAGCTTGATGGCTCGGTTTTGAAGAAAGGTTACAAATTCACGTGAAGTGAACTGCGGCCCATTGTCGCAAACAATCTCTTCCGGGTATCCTTCACGGGCAAAAACACTGGTTAAGAAGTCTTTCACGGTGCTTGTGGCCACTTCGCTGCAGAAATATATCTCTGGCCATTCGGAATGGTAATCGACCAGTGTTATAGCAAATTGGCTATTGTGAGGTGCATGTTCCAATGGGCCAACAATGTCTAGGCCCAGTTTCTGCCATGGCCTTTCAGGCCAGTCAATAGGCTGCAATGGCGCTGGCGATGTTTTGGCAGACTTATCTGCCTCCAGGCAGATGTGACAGTTTTTCACGGCGGATTCAGCTTGCTTGTCCATCCGTGGCCACCAGAATAGCTCACGAAGTCGCGCCTTTGTGCGCGTGATGCCCGGATGTGCCTCGTGGGCAACGGCGATGAACTGAGTCGTGAGTGAGGACGGAACAACAAGGCGTTCTGCGCGCAGTAGAAGGTCATCAACAACAGAAAGTTCTTCGCGCACAGAGTAGAAAGGTTTTGCCTCCTCTGGTATGGACTTTTGTGGTGGCCAAGAACCGAGCACGAACGACTTGACCGTTTGCAGACAACCATCGTTGAGGACGGCTTGCTTGAATTCTTCTTTCGTCACGCAAGCCGACTCGACCAACGACACAATTTCTTCATCCTTGTTCAGCTGTGCCTGGGTTGCTCTATTGACTGCATCGGAATGTGACAAGGTGTCGGGTCATTAACACGCGGCGGCGTGGCAACGGACGTGTGCAGGCACTCAAGAGTGGAGCCCTGTATTCGAAGATTTAGGGCCTTAATGCCGTCGAGGCCTATCAGACAAGTTCCTTGGCGAACGATGTAGAAAAGAAGTGGTGCAGAGCGCCCTTTAAACTGAACGTCTGCCTGGAAACAGCCTAGCACGGAAATTGGCCGCTTCAAATAGTCAAACAAAGTGACATGTGGAGCTGGGAGGAGCCAACTGCTTTGAAAATGTTGGTGAAATTCTTGCTTCGATAGAATTGAAACAGACGACCCTGAGTCAACAAGGAATGACAACTTGACATCCGCTACGCGTACTTGTATGTAAATTGCGATGCGAGCGGGATGCTGCACAGTCAAAACTTGCTCAGAACTTCCCCCTGACAAAGCATCGTCATCGATGCCAACTTCACGAATCCTGCCTTGCATTTGACGCCTGCGGTTGCATACTTTCTGAAAGTGGCCTTTGATACCGCAAAACAAACACTTCTTCCTCTGCGCAGGGCACTGTGACGCTGATGCGCGGTGATTCCGTGAGCCGCATCGGAAACAGTGTGGTGAAACGGACCGGCTATCTCTGTCTCGCCGAGGGGGGCGGGGCCCCTGCGGCGCACGCGAACCGCTAGCGCTTGGAGAGTTTTGCTGAAAATGCGCTTTTGGCTGGAAATTGAATTTTCGCGAAGAATGCGAATACTGGGAACGACGCCGTACAGAAACAGGCTCGACCGAAGCAGAAAATTCCTTCAACTCTTCAGCTGCTTGCTCAAACTGAAGAGCGATGCGCACTGCGCTCTCGAACGAAAGGGTGGAACCCTCGAGCAGCAACCGTTCACATACGCGGTTGGAAACAACGCCGGCAACAAATCAGTCCCGCAGAGCATCATCTTGTGAAGCGAACGAACAATGCGAAACGAGCTCCCGTAAAGCAGCAACAAAGTCATGAACGGACTCGCCTGCGTGTTGGCTGCGGCGGTGAAAACGATGACGCTCGACGACGACGTTACACGACGTGGAAAACTGCTGCCGTAAGGAGCTGAGTGCAGCCTCGTACTCGTCAGTAGCGGCCGCGGGAGGCTTTTCTTGTACTTCCGGTGCTGCGGCGCTTGCTGGTGCTGCGGCATTTGACCCTGCAGGTAAAGTCCGGTAAACACGCTGCCCTTCCGCCCCCAAACAATGCAGAAGAATGGCCTTGCGTCGCGCTGGTGGGAACTCAGCTGCTCCGGACGCTAGAAGGTAGACTGTTAAGGTCTGCTCCCACTCCTCCCATGGAAGTGAGTTTCTGCCATGGCCTTTCAGGCCAGTCAATAGGCTGCAATGGCGCTGGCGATGTTTTGGCAGACTTATCTGCCTCCAGGCAGATGTGACAGTTTTTCACGGCGGATTCAGCTTGCTTGTCCATCCGTGGCCACCAGAATAGCTCACGAAGTCGCGCCTTTGTGCGCGTGATATATATACATAAAGGACAGACGTATATCGAATATATACATAAAGGACAGACGCGCCCCCTGGGGGTGAAAGAACACAAAGTAAAAACCGAAACTGAATATAACAGTAAGGTGTCCACAAGCGCTCGGACGGGGGCAAACATTGAAGTTGTAAATATATACAACATACCATCGATAGGGATAGGCGCAGTCACGAAAGCTTTTATGGAAGGCATCTTCAAAGCAGTGTCGACAGGACACCCGCATTTTGATGTCAAAGCGTTGAGACACTTTCTCCTTTAGAAGCACTCTTGGGTGCATGTGAAAAACTGTGGTCCCATTCTTCACTGTCGAGTTCCTGACTTTTGGCACCATGCTCAGCATTGGTGCACGTAATAATTCGAGACTTGCTTTGGGGCCAGGAAAATGGGAATGTGTCAAGTAGGCAGCTGGCGACCCATGTCCGTTTTTCATCTCTGTATGTCCTGTTAAAGCTTAGTTGTTTCTGAGTAGTGCTTCTATTTGCTTTGAATTTCGGTCTCCACGCTTTGACATCAAAATATGAATGGCATGTCGACGCTTCTTTCAAAATGCTTTCACTGTTCTTGGCTCTGTACGCTGAAAAGTGATCATTAGCCAGGAAGTCCCTGTCTAAATACAGGAAAACTTCGAGATTGTTTTTGTCAATAACCACTGATATAAGCTTGTTTAAAGTTTGTTTTGTCTAACTGAGGAGGTATAACCTTATAACCATAGCGAGCACATATATGGATTTAAGTGGTCAATGTTTTAGCAGAACTTTTTGAGTGTTGTGATATTTGTCATACCATTCTAGATTTACTACGAAACTGTTGTGAAGTCTGCTAGGTCAGGAACTTGAAAACGAAGAATGGCCCCACAGGTCCATGTAATGTGAAAGGAAAATGTATACAATGCTTTTGAATGTACACCGTTAATGCTTGAGTAGGATTTCTGATATTTGAGTATGATAATTATTCTCAAGATGTCGATGAGGATTCAAAAATATTTAATACTCAGCATGATAGTGATGCTTAATAATTATGGCCAGAATGATGATTCTAGCCAATCACACACACAGTCATGTGATTAACACTTTGTTGTTCTGAGCATAGAACTGGCTGCAAATAATTTTTTTTTCTCCAGTTGCCTTGATGGCTGATAAAGAGGCTTTAGAAGACAAGGTCAAGGCCTTGATGAGCTTCAGGTGAGCTGTTTTGTTTTCTTGAGCACACAGTTTTCTCTCGTTTTTTTTTCAAGTTGCTCTATCGTGGCAACCATCCCTCACCAGCTATCATTAATGGCCATGCATTCAAGAGCTTGGGAATAGACTTCTTTTTTATTCAAGTGGATTGCTGCCCTCTATGATTGTATTCAAACATGATTGTGGTTTTTCACACTACTAAAGTATTGCTTACTGTTGATTTTTTTAAATAATGAAATCTGAGAATTTTCTATAGTACCTGAAAGTATTCTGTTGATTGCAAAAGGTTTTTTGACTGTATGTAAGAATTAAGAACTCGCACCTAATCTTTTTGCGCTCATTCAACTATGAAAAACCAACAATTCACTGTTGTCCCGAAGAACTTCTGTCCTCTTCCCTTAACAAACCCATAATTTATCTTATTGAAATACTTTTTTTTTTAGAAAATAAAAGAACATTTGGAAGCTGAAGTGAAGGCTCTGATGGAGACCAACGAAAAAATGGCGCAAGATTTTCGGGACTCCCAGCGCAAAATGTTGGACTCGTTAGAACAGCTACAGCATGAAAATGGAGAGACAGCTGCTGCTGTAGAGGAATTTTCACATGAGTGAGTTCTTGTCCTAGTGTTTTTTTTTTGGCTCACATTTTTTGCCATATTTTTACAACTTGCATTCCTTAGCTTGCTTATTAGTTTGCTTACTTATAAACTTAATTTCCCCCTTTCAGCGTTTTGTTGGATTTACTTGGGCTGCGACAAGACAGTCGTGAGTGCTGATTCTTTCTATTTCATTAAAATATTCATAAGCAATGCTGCTTGACAGGAGTGCCATGTAGCTTTAAGGAGCAAGAACTATTTAGTACAGTAAAGCCTCGATAATCTAAAGGCTGCCGTACCGTGAAAATTCTTTGAATTAACCGAATCTTCAAATTAACTGGAATGAAGAAAAAAAAAGCAAACAAGAACTACAAGATGAAATCACATTTTTTTTTCCTTTCGAGAAAAAGGTTATTTAAAATACTTGGTGATATTGCATTGCTTATTGCGGTAGTTCGCCGCCCCAAGTGCCATGTTCTTAAACCTGCTCACAATACTTAGCATTTCACTGTCACGACCGCTGCATTCGACAAAGCTACGGAAGGTGTTCACGACATCGACAACTGAAGCCAAAGGGGCCCGCGGCCAGGCTCGTTATCGTCACCATCATGGCCATCATCGCTAGTAGCCCACTGTTGGTGATGTCCTCGTGTACATCAGCATATTGTTACGCAAAAGGAGGACGAGAACGTATACAGCTGAAGGGGCCGTTTATTTTAGTCGCGAAGAGAAGCGCCGAAGCGGACAACAGGTTGATGATTGCAGTGTCCTCGTCTTTGTTCTTTCTCCAGCTTGGGGCAGCCAGCATGTTCACCCATCTTCGTTTTTTTCCCAGTCATGCGCAACATTCCTCCCCCCGCAGACAAAGCCCGCCGGGCGAGGTAATTGATTCACCTATGTGTGTACAACTTCAGTCGAGGGACATGGACTGCTTGGGTTTTAGCGGCTCTTCTACCACTTCTCGTGAGGCGAGCTATTGTGTACGTGACTTCAGTGATTTTGTTGAGAACAACAAACAGGTCTGTCATATGTGGCCAAGAACTTTTGGCATAACCCGATTCTTCGTACTAGAGTCCAGAGCCACACCAAGTCGTCTGGATGGTAAGTTACAGGCCGGTGGCGGACGTCGTAGCGTGCCTTCGATTCTTCCTGTGATTCCAAAGTGCGTAGATAAGCAATATGACGCGCCTCTTTTGCAAGGCAGAAGATATCAGCGACTGAGAGGTTCTCGTGCGCCGAGAATGGGAAAACTTTGTCCAGTGTATGCCGTGGCGGTCGTGTGTACATCAAGAAAAAGGGGCTATAGCCTGTTGTCTCGTGCTTAGCGGTGTTTAACGCGTACGTTATAAATGGTAGCACGTCATCCCAGTTTTTGTGGTCGGATGCCACACTCATAGAGAGCATGTTTACAATTGTGCGGTTGGTGTGCTCCGTGAGCCCATTTGTTTGCGTATGGTATGGCGACGAGTGACGAAGGCGGGACTCACTCATTCGAAGCAGTTCTTCTACTATATCTGTCGTAAATTGTCGTCCACGATCACTGATGATCACGTGAGGTGGGCTGTGGTGGAGGATAACGTGCTGCAGCAGGAACACAGAAACGTCGCTGGCAGTTGTGGCTGGTATGGCCGCCGTCTCGCAGTAGTGCGTGAGGTAGTCGACGCATACAATTATCCAGCGATTGCCCTTAGCCAACTTTGAAAAAGGGCCCACGAGGTGAATGCCCACTTGTTGGAAAGATGTGCTTGAAGGTGACAAGGGCTGTAGAAGACCTGCCGGAGCAGTAGATGGGTATTTGTGGCGTTGACACTGCATGCAGCTGGCCACATACACCTCGACTGACTGTCGCATTTTCGGCCAATAAAAGCGTTCCCTAGCACGGTAAAGCGTCTGCGCAGAACCTAAATGTCCGGACGTAGGACTGTCGTGCTACATAGCACTTAAAATCGCTGTTCGAAGATTTTCCGGCACTACCGAAAGGAAATGTGCGCCAGTGCTGGAAAAGTTCTTATACAGGAGTTCATTGCGTACACAGAAATGGCATGCCGTCGGAGCTGTGCAGAGCGATGATAGCCTGGTGTCTTTTCGCTGTTCATCTTTGAAAGTACTGAGGTCGGGAAACTTTGGTGACACGGAAGCTACGAGGTGGTCGAGGTCATCGGCATCACACTCTGTAGTGCTCAGTGGCATGCGCGAAAGGCAAACTGCGTCAGCGTGTCGTCGACCACTTTTGTACGAGATTATGAAGTTATACTCTTGGAGCCAAAGTGCTCAGCGCGCTAGACGGCCGCAAGGGTCCCGAAGGTTGACGAGCCAGCACAATGAGTGGTGGTCGGTGGCGACTGTAAAAGGGCGTCCATATAGGTAAGACTGAAACCGCTGAATCGCAAATACTACCGCGAGGCATTCTTGTTCTGTGACAGTGTAATTCTGCTTGGGCCTACTCAAGGAGCGACTTGGGTATGCGATCACGTTCTCGCGGTTACCATAACGTTGAAATAGGAAGGCACCAATTCTTATGCCACTGGCATCCGTGTGCAGTTCTGTTGGAGCTGATGGGTTGAATCGTTGTAGAACAGGCCGCGACGTCAGGAGGAACTTCAGTTGACGAAAAGAGGAGTCGCACTCCGGAGTCCACTCGAAGGGAATATTCTTTCCCTCGCAAACATGTCAGCGGATACGCGACATCGGCAAATTTAGGTATAAAGCTGCGAAAACAGGAGCAAAGCCCAAGAAAACTGTGGAGCTCCTTAACAGAGCGCGGCGCACTGAACGTTTCAACGGCTGCTGTCTTCTGGGGATCTGGACGGGTGCCATCATGATCGATTAGGTGTCCAAGAACAAGGGTTTGTCGGTCTCCGAAGTGGCATTTATTTGAGTTAAGAACAAGGCCAGCGTTTCTTATGCAAGTCAGTACAGTATCCAGACGTGAATAGTGTTCACTGAAGGTGCGGCCAAAGATGACGACGTCGTCGAGATAGCACATGCAAATGCTCCACTTCAAGCCACGAAGAACAATGTATGTCCATAAATCGCTCGAACGTCGCCGGTTCATTGCACAGTCCAAGTGGTATCACGTTGAATTCAAAAAGGCAGTCAGGGGTTACAAAGGCTGTCTTTTCTTTATCTTCAGGATGCATGGGAATTCGCCAGTAGCTTGATCTTAATTCTACAGAGGAAAAGTAAGAGGCCGAATGTAGACAGTCTATGGCATCATCAATACGTGGAAGTGGGTACACGTCTTTTTTTGTTATAGCATTCAAACGGCGATAATCGACGCAAAATCTCCAGGATCCGTCTTTCTTTTTAACGAGAATTACTGGGGCTGCCCATGGACTCGCCGACTCTTGAATAACTCCGTTTTGAATCGTTTCGTTCACCTGCTCATTAATAATCCGCCGACACAAAATCTTCAGGATCCGTCTTTCTATTTTTTGAGAATTACTGGGGCTGCCCATGGACTCGCCGACTCTTGAATAACTCCGTTTTGAATCGTTTCGTTCACCTACTCATTAATAATCCGCCGCTCGGATGGCAAAACACGGTATGGCTTTTGTCTAATCGGATTGGCCAAACCAGTGTTGATGGTGTGACATGTCCGTGAAGCAGGGATTAAGGACGCTTTTTGTTTTTCTGCGCAAAGTCGAATGCAGAAACGTGCTTCGAAAGTACATTCACCAATGTTTGGCGTTCACTTGTGCTCAGCGACTTATTAACCATTGACAGAAGAGCCGTTTCCAAACTGTGACTACGATGCTCTTCCAGCGCATCTCCAAGCTCGGTCACCAGTAAGGCCTCGTGTTGTCCACTGACGACGGCACCAGCTGGTAACACCACGGGTTCTGTGGAGCAATAGGTAGTCCATAAACCAGCGCGTTCATGTCTAATCGACACCACACAATGTGGGATCAACACCTTATTTTTCATGCAGCTGGTGTACACTGGTTCAACATTGGCATCAAAGTCGGCGGAATAGCTGTCACTGCAACCAACAGGTACATCAACCGTTGATAACGATGGTATGAAAGTGTCGCCACAGACACACAATGCTGTCTCACCATCCACGGGGTTTTCCAAGAGTGCTTGCGGAATGTGATCACTCAAGAATATTGTCCCTGTGCGGCAGTCGAGAGTCGCACCACACTCCCTCAAAAAGTCCGTACCCAAAAGAACATCATGTGTCGCCTGCGGAATAATCACGAACTTCGTTGGGGTAACGTGGCCTCCGAAAAACGCATCAGCTTGACACACACCAACAGGATGCAGTAGCTCACCAATCACTCCGCAAAACTTCGAAGCTTGATTCCACTTAAATAAAACCTTCCGTCCCAAGGTATCTTTAAAACACGCACACATGACATTGTTGCCAGTATCCACCAAAGCTATCACAGGCACATCGTCAACAAAAACACGTACTTTGTTCTTGAGCATCAACACAGGAGGTATTTCTGATATTAGCATGTCTCCGGCGACTTCACGTCCTTCGGCCGCACTTGCTAGTTTTCCTGTGGCAAAAAAGACGTGTTACGACGCCGTGGTGAAGGAGAAGGGGGAACACGAGGAGGTGGAGGCGTCAAGCTCCTGTCAGATGTAGGGGAGTGGTTCCGGAAGCAGCGTGTCCTGTAGTCTTCGCGAGGCAGCAGGTGTGTTGCCCTAGGGTCGTCGTGCAGTCGATCAGACGATCGTGTGGAGTGTTGTGGTGGGCCATAGTACGTTGCTCGCGGGTCGTCGCGAAGTGGTTCAGAAGGCCGTGCAAAGTGTGGTGGGTGGCCATACCGTGGGGCTACACGTCGACGGTTGCAAAATTGCGAAATATGTCCTGGGACACCACAGGAGTAGCAAACTGTGAGAGGTCGAAACTCTGTTTGTTTGTCGATGAATCGAACATCGTCTTCCCTGGCGTAGTGGGTCGGTTCGTCTTGTATATCACAGGGATAGACGGGGCGTTGCGAAAAAGGCGGACGCTGAGTGCGCCGGTCATGGCGAGGAGCTGGCAAGCGTGGTGCTCTCCTTGGCTGTGGGGGTGCACTGTACTCAACAGCGGCTGCACTAACCATCGATTGCCAAGGGGTCGTAGAAGGCGGTGGTGCAGTCACAGCCTCACGTGGCACATATACCGAATGTTGGTCGTTTACAGAATGGTGATCAACTGCTGAATGTGTCTGTTTT